GAGGAGGGTGCTGGTATCTTGATAACATTCCATTAGCTTCCATGTGGAGTACTGTGAGGTGTTTATGTACAGACACGTAGAGAACGAGGTGGGAATGGGAAAGAGAGAACATATATATTTTATTGCGAAAAATACGTGCTGTCGTTTAAAACACCGTGCACAGTCCCGTGCTTCTGGAGTTCGTGCCAGCCCTGGGAACCGCGGGTGACCGAAACAGCTCGGGGGTGCCTGCAGACCTGCTGCTGAGTCCGGCACTCAAAGGCCCAGACTCGGAGAGTGGCCCCGCGTCAGGGAGCGGAGCTGAGCCCCCTCTCCCCACAGGCGTGCACTACGTCTTCGATGCAGCGGTGGCCGCGGACCTCAGCATCCTGGAGGGCCAGAAGGAATTTGTGCGCCGCTTCCTCCGGCACAGCGAGGAGGAGCCCGCGCTGCCCATGCTGACGTCCGCCTGTCCCGGTGAGTGCCGGGGCCAGCTGCCCGGCCCCAGCTGTCTGAGGCCCCTGTCACAGGGGTCTGTCTGCTTGGACCAGGCCGGGGCCGTGGGTGCCTCGTAGACCAAGAGGGAGGAGTTTGGGCCTGAGGCACAATTTTATGCCAAACAACATATTCATTCATTCTGGTGAGCTTGATGAGGAGGAGACCTGACAGCTGAGTATTAATTCAGCTGCATTTATCTGTCTTTCTCAAGATTCTGAGACAAACTGTATTTAGAAAAGCAAATCTATCTTCTCTTAAAAGTATGACACATTTCAGACATCCAGAAAATTGTAGATGGTAATAACGGCAAACACCTGTCCTTTGGCAGCTTAAATGAAAATTACAGAATAAAAAATGATAGGTTCGATCCCGGAGTACTCTTTCCAGCCTGCTTTCATCGGCGGTCTGGCACCTGGAGTTTAGGAAAAATAGAAATTTTTGAACAAGAATGTGGTGAAAGATCATGTGTAAGGAAAGAAGGAAGAAAGTGCTATGCTGGTAAATGACATTTAGTGAAAATTTATTTCTGGATGCCTCAGGCCTGTGAGTGTAGGAAAGCTACCCCGTCAGAGCCAGTCGTGGGCTACGTAATTTTTAGGTTTTTGTTTACGTTTCTATTCTAACTTTATCCTCCCTCCCACCATGCTTCCAAATTTTTCTGTCATTTCACGTCACCCATTGGTCATTAGGGTTATGCTTTAACAATAGAATGTTGGTGGTGTGCTTGCTTAGAATCTGGAAATACTTTCCACTCATAAAACCGTGCAGAGGAACTTCGCCATCTGTCCCAGAGGCCGCATGGGCTGACACACGAGCTGAGCTGTGTCATTCATCAGCCCAGGGCCTGGCGGGATGTGCTGTGCTTCAGGTGGGGCTTGTCGCGGTGCACGGTTTGTCCCAGGAAAGTGACGCATGCAGATGTCCCCAGGTTTCCTGGGCTGCAGGCACTCTATAGCCAAGGCCAGGGATGAGCCGTTGGATAGGTGCAGACTGTGTTGATGTGGTGTCTGCACGGCTGCGGAGGGCCTGGGGACCGCCCGGCTTTCTGAATGACCTTCAATGGTCCCCAGGGCCCCCAGTGCCCAGCATGGAGTCTCAGTGCTTTCCTCGTGAGGCCATCACTCGATGCCACATGCAGCCCGACACTGTGGCTCAGTCTCGCCCAGCCAAGGAGGGGGCAACATAAAACACCCAAAGTCACCCCGTGCCCCTGGGCAGCAGTTTCCAGACTTTCTGGCTGTGATTCCTGGCAGCAGGATGGACGGGGGAACCTGGGGCCTCCTGATACCAAACCAGACACTTGTGGACGCTCGCTGCGGAGGCCCTGCTGGTCACAGCCTAGGACGCAAGCCTTAGTCCTGTCAGGAGCCCAGGGAGTCCTGTCGCCAAGCCACCCGGCGCCCGCCCCAGAGCCCTGTTGTCACTCAGCCCCGCCACCTGCCGCGACTGGCTTCTCCCTCCTCGTCCAGCCCCATGTTTGCTGCATTTGGTCGTCTTGCTGAGCCGTGCAGGCTGTTTACTTGTAGGTTTGGAGCTTCTACAATGTTTTCCTAGGTAAGGATACACTCCTCCTGGAGCTCTTTGTGCCGCAGCGTGTCGAAACTAGCTATTCAGGTGTCCGCCCCTCTCAAATTCAGGGAGGTGAGGTGAGATCTGCTTCAAACTAACTTTTTCTATAATTTGGCTTTGTCGCTTTTGCTTTCTTATGACAATTTAAGGAACCTAAACCAGTACCGAGATCACGTGACGTGACCTGGTGTATAGAAGCAGGGCCGTGGCAGACCTGTGCCGGCTCACTGGGCGTGACCCTCTACAGAGTCCCTGTGTCTGTGGACTGGTAGGCGGGCACTGGTTCAGGCCGGGACTAGGCCCGATGTGACGCCCCCCCTGCCGGCTGCACTGTGGCCCAGCAGAGGAGGGGGTGAGCGGCTCAGCTTCGGACTGGACGGGCTGGCAGGCCTGGCCTGCCAGAGTGCCCACGGGCAGGAATCCGGGGCAGCGTCTGTCCGGCCCTAGCAGAGTATCTGGAGAGCGACTGGGCACCTCTGCTCTGAGCGCGCACCCTGCTGCGCCTTCAGAGTGGGTCGCTGGGGAGGTGGGTAGGCTGGTCACGCCTGCGCAGCCACACAGCCCGCCCCAGGGTCTCCGTGAGTGTGAGCAGGGGCTGTCCAGGCACAGGTCAGTGTCTCTGCCCCTGCTGGTGCTCAGTGATGAGTTCCTGAGCAAAGGTATCCTCATGGCTCCAGGTGCCTGGGCGCTGTGGGCCCTGGGGTTCCTGCTCAGCACCCCCGCCACGGGCCAGGTCCTCCGTGGGCACCCAGCTTCTGGAGCTTAGCCTGGTCTCGTGTGGTGCTCAAGGCCTTCTGCCTCCGCAGCACAGAGGGGCCATCTGCCAGGAGCCACATCTGCGGTGCTGGCACTTGGGCTGAGGCCAGGGTGGGTGGCGGCCTTATAAGGCCAGACCTGAGGTGGGAATACCCAGTGTCCCCAAACGGTCTATGTTGTGGGTAGTTTTTCTTTAAACCTTCAAAGGCACGTGTGCAGAGACCAGTTTTTCTCATAGGGGCTTGTGTGGGTCACCACAGCGCCCTCCTTGGCGCATTCAGGCCTGCGTGCAGGTGACAGGCGCAGTTTGAGAGTTGGTCAGGGATTGTCAAGTGTGAGTGGCGCCTGCTGCTCTCGCCCAGGAGTGGACACAGGGAGGCTAATCTGCCCGCAACCCCTATCTTGGGACGCCTCGGTGTGCACGCCGGCCTATGGGGTCAGAGGTGTCAGGAGATGCTGTCCACAACAGGCCAGGCCCAGCGGGAGGAGGGAGCTAGCTGTGTCCCTTGCAGGTTGAGCTGCTGGCTGTGTGGTCTGCAGACCGCTGCCCTGTGTCCATCCTTGGAAACCAGCAGAAGGAATGCCCCCAGGGGGCACGGCGGGGGGTCATCTGAGTCATGGTCCCGTGTCCTGGCCATGAGAACAACTCTGCACTGGCATGGTGGAGCTGGAACACGCAGCCTGTGACAGCCTTGTGGCTGCTCCTCTGAGCGTGTCCTCTCTGGGGACCAGCCATCCTCGCTTTTTCTCCCGTCCCGTTTTCTGATCTGGGACTGACGGGAGCCCCTCGCAGACACCCGTCAGTTGGGCTTCGGGGAGGCGGTCTGTCGCACATTCGTGGCGGAGCCTGAAGCTGGAGTCCCAGCCCCCTCCCCGAGGTCAGGGCCTCGGGAGCTCCGAGTCCCGGGCGTGCAATGGGGAGTGGGGAAGCAGTGTGGGCACTGATGCGGGGCCCCTCTCTCCCCAGGCTGGGTCCGCTATGCCGAGCGCGTTTTGGGCCAGCCCCTCACCCCCCACCTCTGCACCGCCAAGTCTCCCCAGCAGATCATGGGCTCTCTGGTGAAGGATTACTTCGCCCGACGGCAGGTAAGCTGACCTCTGCGCCCGGGCAGCATGGCTGTGGGGCCATCTGGTGACAGGAGCTGAGGGTGAGTGAGGGCGGGGACCCACTGGGCACATCCAGGTGCTCTCAGCCCAGGCCAAGTGGAAACAGTGCCCGCCCTGCTGAGGGGTGCTCGGGGCCTCACCCCAGACATGCTCGCTTAGGAGGTCCTGCGTGGGCCCCGCCCTTGCCTGCCCCTGGAACACTTGGCCGCCTCTGGCCTGACACAGCAGGACTGCCAGCTGGGGCCCTCGAGTCCTTTCCACAGCCCCCAGCTGCCCCAGCTCCCCCACCCGGGTGTGGCACCATCTCTTTTCCCACCGTGCTGTCCCCTCCTCTCTCCCGGCCCCAGCTCACGCCCATAGCTGCGATCCGAGGGCTCTGGCAGCGGCCAGACCCAGGTCCTCCTGGAGCTCCCTGGCGCCCCATGCCGCCCACGGCGTGGCCCTCCCATGGCCTGTTCTCGGTTGGATGATAAGCTCCTCAGGGAACAAGCGTGGCCAGGTGCTGTGGGAACTGGAGAAGGCTGGACAGCAGGTGTCTCAGATGCCTGAGGCAGCGCGAAGCCACGTGACCCCGGTAGCCTGTCAGCCCTGCTGCGGGGGGAGGGGGTGCTTCCCCTCTGCCTGACCCACTCATGAAGTCACCACCACTGCCGGCGAACTGTGATGTGGCGTCAGTGCAGCATTCATTTTGGGGGACAGGAAAATGAACCAGGCACCGAGGAGTGGCTCAGTCCTAAATGCTGCCGGGCATGCTTCCTGTGGACTGTGACAAGGGGCGGGCGCCCTCTTTGGTCTCCGCCCTGCCCTCATTAGGGCCGTTCCTCCCAGGCCTGGCCTTGAGAGTCACTCAGCAGCTGCCAGCTCCTGGCATTGCCGCCAATTCCGGCTCAGTCACGGGCACCAGGAAGGCGTTGCTTGGGAAGCTTCTGGAAAGTTGGGGTAGAGTGGCTGGTATTCAGTAACAGCGCAGCAGGGGCTTCTTCCAGCGTGTGGGATCACTGCACCCAGTTCGGGGGGAGCAGGCTCAGTGTCCACGCCTCTCCTGCGGGTTTCCAGGCTCCTGGGCCTTTCCGCCTGGAGAGAGGCAGCGCCACGTGTGGGCCTGGTGCCGCTGCTCGTTGGGACGTGGGGCGGGGGACGTGTGGCGGGAGCTCGGCCTGGAAGCGCGGGCCCAGCCCCGGGGCAGTGGCGGGTGCTGGGCAGCAGCGTTAAGTCGCCCTCCTCGCCCTGGCGCCCTGGACGGTGGGCGCTTTCTCCACAGAACCTGCCCCCAGACAAGATCTTCCACGTCATCGTGGCCCCTTGCTACGACAAGAAACTGGAGGCTCTTCGAGAAGATTTTTCCCCAGCTTTGCACAGTTACCGGGGTGCCGACTGCGTGTTAACCTCAGGTGAGCAGTACATCGTGTGAACGTGGCCAGTGTGTTTCAGCCATGTCCACGTGGGGTCGTCACAAGTGTCCTGCTTGGGAAACAAAACACGGAGAGATCATTTGAGAAAATCTCTCATTTCAAGAGCAGAAAAAGGAATTAGACTCTTCGTGTACGTTCTAGCATTTTTCATTTTATTAGCGTCGCTTTGTGCTGGACGTGGGCTGCTTGTGCTCTGTGGGAGGGACACCACCAAAGTCGCCTGCCTTAGAATTTCCTGCGGGACCTTGAGGACGCGTGACATTCCGTTGGTGCCGGCCGTGGTGTCCTTTCACGGCACCGCATGCCTCTTGTTCGTAGGTGAAGTCGTTCAAATGATGGAGCAAAGCGACCTCTCGGGGAGAGACGCGGCCGTGGACACTCTGTAAGTGGCTTTGGCGGGGGGGCCACGTTTGGGTGGAGGGGGCCTCTCGTGTGATCTCTGGAGGTCACATGTGCCAGGGCCTCCCTACTTCACAGTGAGGCCACATGCTGTGCTGCAGCGTGGGCGCAGGGTGGCACCTGACCCGGGGTGCCATCTTCTGTGGCGCTGCATGGCCCCACCCTAACCCTCAGCCGCCTTCTCGCTCCTGAATGCGGCCAGGACCTTGGTGTGGCGTGCCACGCGCCGGGGCCGTGGGACGTTGTGTCTGCGGCTGGTTGCGGGGCCGCCCATTCTCCACCGCGCTCTGCCGCTCCCGGCTCCCTTTGCCCCTGACGCTGAGTCTGGCCCTGCCCCGGGTACACGTATCTGGGGAAACAGCGGGGGCCTCGGGTCCCTTGGGTTTCTGCAGGCGGCGGTGACTCTAGCCCTGCTGCATCCTGTGCTCCGGGCACGTGCAGAGCGTGCACGGACCACTCCGCAGGTCCAGCCAGTGGTGGCGCCAGGATTGTTTGTGGCCCTTTTGTGAAAGGCTGGCCAGAGGCATACAGAATTTAGCACCTTGGTGCCCGTGGCCACGGCCTGCACCAAGCTGGCTGACCATGCAACCTCATCTGGGGCTCAGACTGGCGTGAGCCCCTGTCACCCTCGGAGTTCTGAGGGATGCGCCCCGGCACATGGGCAACAGGGAGAGAAGTGACCAGCTGAACAGCTCTAGCGTAACCCCCGCTGCATCTGAGACTCAGGCACAAGCGACGTTCCATGCCATGCGTCGCAGCTCAGTAGAACGGGGTTGTGTCGGTAACGGGTTTCAGCATCCCCGTGGCAGGCTCGCGTGTTGCAGTTTCGGACGTCTGATTGACTCTTCCTGTCGCTTCTCTCTGCCTGGTGAGGTTCGGAGACCTGAGGGAGGAGGAGCTGAGGCGCCACGATGGGGCCAGCTCCGACGGGCACCTGGCGCACATCTTCAGACACGCGGCCAAGGAGCTGTTCAACGAAGACGTGGGGGAGGTCACCTACCGCACCTTGAGGTGCGTGCGGACGCCCACGGTCTGTGTGTGTGTGTGTGTGTGTGTGTGTGTGTGCGTGCGCGCGGTGCTGCTGTTCAGGGCAGGGTCCCCAAAGCCTGTGCGTGTCGGGGTTGTGTGTGTGTGTGCGCGTGTGCGCGTGTGCGCGTGCGCGCGCTCGGTGCTGCTGTTTAGGGCAGGGTCCCCAAAGCCTGTGCGTGTCGGGGCGGCTGTCCCGTTTGTGGTGTTCACACCGTCAAGATCAGAGGCCTTTCTGTGTTTGCACAAAGACCTTTTGTTCTGCCGACCTTCCGGACTTGGTGGAAACGCCCCTCCAGCTGCAGGAGGGCTCGGCGGGTCACAGCCCACTGTCCCTTTCACAGGAACAAAGACTTCCAGGAGGTCACCCTCGAAAGGGACGGGGAGGTTCTGCTGCGCTTCGCTGCTGCGTACGGCTTTCGAAACATCCAGAACGTGGTCCTGAAGCTGAAGAGGGGCAAGTTCCCATACCACTTCGTGGAGGTCCTCGCCTGCGCTGGGGGTGAGGCCTGGCCCCACCCTGAGCCTCGCTCGGCCCCAGCGGCTGTGGGGAGGGTGGACACGACAGTCCCCCTCTTCCGCTCACACCCACCTAGTGAGAAGAGTGGGCACTCTGATGTCTCTTCGAAAGTCCCCTGGGGGAGGGGATCCCCAGAGGAGTCACGGCACGGGTGGCACCAGGAGACAGCCAGTTCAGCTCGTGTGGTAGCCGGTGTGGAGTCAAGGCACACAGGAGCCGAGGCTGGCCCTCAGGTGGCTTGAACAGCCCCCGCCACCTCTAGCCAAGTCTGTCCCTGCATATGGGAGGGACCTGCGTGAGGAATGGAGGCCAACAGGAGGGACTGGGGATGGGGGTCCCCCACAAGGACTTGCTGGTGGAGTAGGTGAGGGTGTGGGGGAGGAGGGAAGCGTGTGGGCCCTGGGCAGTGATGGAGCCAACTCGGAGAGGGGATCAGGGTGTCTGTGGCACTCAGACTGGGAGATGCCCACAGGTACTCAGGTGGAGGTACCAGGTGCGAGACTGTCTCGAGCAAGGGAGGCTCTGGTGGAGGGTGTGACGGGAGAAGCAGCCTAGAAGGCAGCGGAGACCCCATGAGCATTTGGGGAGGGCGGGGGTGGGGCGCTGAGGACAGGGGTGAGCCCTGGCTTTGGGGTCCTCACAGCCTGGTTGACCTTGCTCCAGGGGTCAAGGCACAGAGGGCAGAGCCTACACCTTGAGCTCTTGAGCAGATGGGAGGTGAGAATGAGGAGGCGTCTGGGGGGCAGGTGAGGGGCCCTTCGGGGCTGGGCTGGACAAGCCGACGCCCTGGAACTAGAGCTTCAGCTGGGGAGCAGGCCTGGGGCCCCAGAAGAGAGAAGCAGCCGCTCCCTGGGAAAGCAGAGTTCTTTGCCTCGGCCGAGTGTCTTTTTGAGATATGAGGTCAGGAGTGGCAGCTGTTGGGAGCTGCCAGCGGATAAGGGTGGGGAGGCTTGGCCGGGGAGGGTTTGCTCTAGGTGCTCTTAGATGCATTTTTATCCCGTAAATCATGACATCGTTACCTGTGTTTGGGAGTGCGCAGCACCGATGTGTGGGGTCATTTCCCTGTTCAGGTCGTAGCACCCATGTATGTGGACTCGGGTCCCCATCCCCTCCCAGGTGCAGCCCAGGTGGGGACCAGTGCTCAAGGGCACTGTGCAGACACTGGGGTGTAGCTGCTGTGAATTGTTTCTGTGCTCTCCTGATTGTGATGAGTTTCAAGGAAAACTGGGGATCCAGATTCGCTTACACAGCCACCCAGTTCTGAAAGGTTAGCAAGTTGTTTGGGTTTTAGGTAAAATCAGGTCGTGAGCAGTGTAAGCAGGGAGGGACTGGGAAGCACATGGGGCTGTGAGCCTGCGACCAGGGTTCCTGAGGCCTCGGGGCACACGTGTCCAGGATCTAGCTTGAGGCCCTGGCCACACGAAACCCTACACTGCTTCGTCCCCACTGCCCCGGCCCATCGTTCTCCGGGACAAGAAGAGAGTGAGTGCGTCTCGTGTCTTTCAGGGTGCCTGAATGGCCGCGGCCAGGCCCTGGCGGAGGACGGGCGTGCGGACAGGGCCCTGCTGCGGCAGATGGAAGGCATCTACACCAGCATCCCCGTGCGGGCCCCAGAGGCCAGCGCCAGCGTGCAGGCGCTGTACCAGGAGTGGCTGGGCGGGGCTGACTCCCCCAGGGCCCAGGAGGCTCTGCACATGGCCTACCAGGGCCCTGGGCGCCCCGCCAGCAGCCGAGACATCAAATGGTGATGGCGATTGGACGGCCGCTGACGGGGGAGCACTGAGTGGGGCATCAGGGACACTGGAAGAAAAAGCTCGGCTTTCCTTTCCTTGCGCTGGTGTCAGCCCCCTCCGCCCGCCGCGGGTGGCGCTGTCTCCCGAGCGTGTGCTGGGAGGGCTGAGCACGGGAGGGCTGCCCAGCGCACGCGCGCGTCCCCCGCGTCCTCCTCCGGCGGAGCCTGGCCCAGCGCCAGGGTGGAGACGACCGCCTACCAGGCTTAGGGGGCCACGTGTCCTGTGACAGGCAGGGACCTGGCTCTGGTTCCTGCGCCTCAGACCCCTGTGGCCGTGAAGGCACCGGGCAGGCGCGGGGTTGCGGGCCACGGTCCTGGGTCGCCCTCGTGGCTCCAGATTCTACCCATTGACGTTGCTCTTGAAAATGCTTTTGCCACAACATGAATAAACTGCCATCTCCTGGAGTCGGGGCTCAAACACAAATCTGCATTGCCAGCTTTTCTCGAAAAGAACCTGAGATCTGGCAGCAGTGGCCACGCTCCTTCTGGAACGGGACCCTGCCCCTGGGACTCTGGGCACTGGCCCCACAGGGGCACGGTGCGTTCAGTCTTTGAGCGGACCTCATCTCCAGGCGGGGAGGCGGGCATGGTGCCCCGGTTCCCGCCAGCAGATGGCGAGGTGGGCTGCCCTGCTCGGGCCAGGCTGTGGGGAGTCGTCTCCCAAACTCCCCCCATGTCCTCTGTGCACCCCTCGACCGGGCACCCTACCCTGCACATTAGCTGGGGGCAGGGCTCACCTTAAGTGAGTAGGGGGTGCATGCATCCCGCCCCCAGACAGCCAGATGGAGAGGGCTTGCAAACACCGGCCTCTGCAGCCTGGGACATGAGACAGACACCCGTGGTGGCCTGGAGGAGTCACTTCTCCAAAGCACTTGGACTTGTGAACGTGGGTGATGATGTCCTTCTTGATCCCTCAGGGCTGCGCTGTCTCAGCGTGTTGGAGTCCCCTTACCTCACCCTGGATCGTGTCCCCGTGTGCCTTTCTGTGGTGTGTGAAATTGTGTGTGTTGCTGCCAGTCTGTTTACAGGGGGTGTCCCCCCTCTGTGGCACTGCCTGGTTGTGGAATAAACGGTCCAAGTGTCCGAGTGTGCACGGTTCCATGAGCCCGACACTGCCTGCCCAGCCGGAGGCTGGCTCCACCTGCCCCATGG